TCGTAGTGATACAACACAAGGAGAAGTGCTCATCGACAAAATCGTTTGTTGGGGATTAGCAATGGATGAGCAAAGGTATCTCTACATTTCTGACGACGAAATACATGAAGTAAGACGATATCAATTGGGTGAGAAGAATGGCACTCTCGTAGCTGGTGGAAATGGACAAGGTGATGGACTCAATCAACTCAAGTTTCCGAAATATCTCGTTGTCGATCGACAACAGACTATCTACGTATCAGACAACAACAATCACCGTGTAGTGAAATGGAATAAAGGTGCAACAGAAGGTATTGTGGTCGCTGGAGGAAAAGGCAACGGGAATGCTTTGACACAATTATATTGGCCTAATGGATTCTTCATCGATACACTGGGTACACTCTATGTAGCAGACTCGGGGAATCATCGTGTAATGCGTTGGACTCAAGGAGACAATAAAACAGGCACTGTAATTGTGGGTGGAAATGGTCAAGGAGCAGGAGCTAATCAGTTCAACGTCCCCCGTGGTCTGTCTTTCGATAGACAAGGTAATCTCTATGTCGCCGATACGGATAATAATCGTGTTCAACGATTCTCTATCAAATAAGACTTGTAAATTGTTTTTTCTTTGTTCGTTTCTTTTTCTATACTTTGCAATAAGTGAACAAAAAAAGAGATTTTCGTTTACTCTTTCCCTTCAAAGAAAAGAAAAAAGTTAAAATATAAAATTACATCGTATGTTTCTTTTCTTCTCTTATTTATTTATTTGTTAAATGAAAAGAAATGAATTAAATAAAAATTATTTTTCGCAAAAAATATTAATTATTAAAGTGAAAAAAATAAATTGTGTTTTTGAAAATATTTATTATTTGAATGAAAAATAAAATTTGTGTTACTTTGAAAATATTTATTAGTAACATAAAATTATTTATTGATCAAATGAAATTATTTATGATTGAAATAAAAAGAAAATTTTTCAGTTATTTTGAAAATATTTATTTTAAAAATCAAACAAAATAAAATTACAAAAAAATAAACAACAATAATGAAAAATATATATACTTACATTTGTTTTCGTTTGAGCAGTCATTCAATTCCGCAATGTTGAACATTCCGGAACCAGTTCCGCCCACCGAATCAGTTCCGTCGATTCCGGAATTAGGTCAAATATGAACACTGTCCGATTCCGGAATTGGTTCATCCGATTCCGGAATAAGTTCCTCCGATTCCGGAACTGCTTCACCCGATTCCGGAACTGCTTCGTTCGATTCCGGAATTAGTTCGTCCGATTCCCGAAATTCCACGGAATTCAGTCCAATTCCGGAATTAGCTCAATACGGAATCGCTGGGAATTAGACGGAATTGCTAGGAATTCCGTGTAATTCCGTGTGATTCCGTTCAACTCCTGTTCAACCTAATTCCCGGAATTCCGTACCGGAATTGCATTCTTCACCGAGCTATAAGATATATCAAGTGTCCACTGATCGCTCAATTCCGGAATCGCAAGGAATTCCGGAATTACAACTTGTATCACTCTTCTAGCTTGTCTTATCCATTTCGTGTTGATCCGATTCCGGTCCCGAATTCCGGAATTAGGTCAATACGGAATCGCTGGGAATTAGACAGAATTGCTAGGAATTCCGTGTGATTCCGTTCAATTCCTGTTCAACCTAATTCCCGGAATTCCGTACCGGAATTGCATTCTTCACCGAGCTATAAGATATATCAAGTGTCCACTGATCACTCAATTCCGGAATCGCAAGGAATTCCGGAATTACAACTTGTATCACTCTTCTAGCTTGTCTTATCCATTTCGTGTTGATCCGATTCCGGTCTCGAATTCCGGAATTAGGTCAATACGGAATCGCTGGGAATTAGACGGAATTGCTAGGAATCCCGTTCAATTCCGATCAATTCCTGTTCGACCTAATTCCCGGAATTCCGTACCGGAATTTCATGGTGTGGGTGTTGCCATAAGTGTGGGTGTCAGTGTGGGTGTTGCCATAAGTGTGGGTGTCTGTGTGGGTGTT